TATTAATACTCACCTGAGGAGGTGGCATTGCTTCCGTTTCCAGTTCACGAGCCAGCTCCTCTCGAAAAGCAGAAATGGAATTCAAAGCGGGTTCCAGTGGTGTATCGTTTGGCGCGAATGACATGGAAGGCATCATAAGCCTGGATGAATGGTGTCGCTTTTTGCGACTATGGGCACCTTTAAGTGAGCCGCCACTACTGGGAGTCAGGTTACCGGCAGCCGGATTCCCTGCGTTCAGTAGAACCGCAGTGAACGAGAACGCGAACGGAGAAGCCGCTATGATATTTCTCTTCTGCAAAAATGGATTCATATAGCAATTATGGGGGGGAAATTGCGTAAATGGTTTATCCACCTAAAATGTATCTTGAATACATCTTTTGACTTTCATGTTCATTTACACAAACACCGAAAAATACTTGTAATCCAATATCCGGTACAGCTTGAGTTATTTGCATGCAGAAAAGTACAGCGCTCAATCCATGGGAGCCTTGATAGTTTAATCAGTGGACCAATCAGAAGCCAATGGGTAGGAGAGCGGAAAACGACAGTGTACCTTATGATACAGGATAAGTGCTATGTAACTGTGCCCAGTTCTTGAGCATGGTGTGCATGTTTTACTGAAAATTTTACTCAAGGTGGCAGTTGTTTGAAGTGCGTGTATGTATGTATGTAAGTATACATATCTAAAGGTTATGTATAAACATGGAAATTGCAAAACTTACTGTCTCCTCGCTAGCATCCGGAGTGTCCGCCTCAGCAACAGCGCGCTGGCAAATGAAACGTAACTGGCGAAGAAAATTTTTCGAATATATCCGACGCGTAGCCCAAACAATCAGTAAATGTGCCACAGCCGCACGTACTGAATGTTTTTGAACTCTTTATTGAGGGGGGGGGGGGATCAATTGGTACATTCAAAGGCTGTTAAAAATATACAGTCCCAAAAATTGACATTAAAATCTATATATAGACGAAATTAAAGTCCACTTGCGTTTTCTTGTGCCTGTCAATGTTTCAATTACGATGAATTATGAAGAGAAAATGACATATGAACACTGTTTATAACAAACCACGACGACTGGTCGAATACGGACGTTTACACAGACAAATTAGACACAAAGTTAAACTTATTGTTCACACACAGCTCACTGCGGATTGGAATCCCACCACCACCACCGTCACGTGACTGTACGCTTACTTCTGGTCTACGGTGAGCTAAGCAGATTGTTCAAAAAAATCCAGTGACAGTTTTCTTCAATGGTGCCCTATTTCGCAATTCCTGTTTGCTTTCACCGTAGACGAAATAGCGGGAAAAGTGCTCCAAAATATTTAGAGTGTATAGGCAGCTGGAAAAAGGCTATATGGCTTGGAACATGTGAACGACAACATCCATCTGTTTGAATGTATAGAAGATACGAGACGCGCAGTTGGAAGATTAGCAAGTTCTGTTGCTCCGTTCGGGAAGAATCTTGCACCTTCCAAGTGCAAAGTTGTACTGTGAGACTGGTGTTCTGATCATTCCTTGTGTCTTTTTATAAACACATTTTTTATCAAACTGTCACAATTCACTGTTGCTTTCCACCTTCCATTACATGTGAACTACTCTCGCGAATTGATAAGTCAGGACCATCACTAGACGCTCGATTGGTCTGAGGTTGTTAAATCGTGCTTAAACAGATCCAAGTTTCCTTTATCTGCCTAACACATCACCGAATTGTCCAATAGCCCATCTCCTCCGAACTGAGCGGCCTCTCCACTATGTCCGTCAAACGAGATCCTGATCAACAGCTTTTGCCTAATGGGGGAACAAGCAAATGGATAAACGCTTGTAAAATACACGCCGTGGATTGTAAGATCACATTAGAGGAGCACCGAGACGAGGATATGCGAGACTCAATCATCAAAGGTATCCATCCATCTGAATGATATACACCACCGACTTTTGGACGAAGCACATTTAAGTTCAGCGGAAGCGTTTGAAACGGACAACTATTAACCTTGCACTTTCGGGCAGCGATTTTCGTTGCCGTTTGGGGGTACCGCATTTGTGAATGACGTAGAGAAAGAACTAAAAAAGCTGTGAGCAGTTCCAAGGTGAAGATAAATATTCAGATCGACTAAGGTTGTAAGGATACCGAGTAGATGCACGGGTACCATTGTTTACAACACTTAACCACATCACTCAACGTTTCTTACTATTGAGGTCCCGGACCAGGAAGCCTGACACAAGTCAGGGTTTTCACATAAGTATGCCAATTTTTAATTTGACCACTTTCCAAACACCATTTTCCTCGACAAGCATTGCACACCGAGGCAAGCTACAGTTGGCATCGCATGCCTCAAACAGGATGTTTTGGTTCGGTTTGACTCATTCGAACCTCTCACGGTAGAAACAGACGCATCGGATGTATCGATTATCACTACTCTAAACCAAAAGGTCAAACTGATCGCCTTGTTCTCAAGGTCCTTTTCAGTATTTGAGAGGTATCATTTTCAAAAGCACTAAGAGGCGTTCGCAGAAGTAGAATCCATTAGGCACTGGAGACAATCTCATCAGATCACTTTACGCGGGTGATTTACTATCACGTTTTCGTCTATATGTATCACAAGCAATACAACAGAGGACTAAAGATAGCATTGTATTGTGTAACTTTTGCAATCACTGAAGCTTACATTTCAGTTATTTTTTTAAAATAAACATGGCAACCGTTACACGGAACATGTTTATCACGGGAAAATTGTTTACGGATAGATGAATTTCGGTGAGCGATTATACGAAATGGCATTTGTTATTATTCAGAATGTGCGGAGGGATGGGAACAAGGTGTAAATTCTGTGAATGGTTCAGATCTGTGAGAATCCTCTCCGCGAAGCTGACACAAGCAGTTGAGAGACAATCGGAAAGCTTCACAACTGACTCGTTCCCCAAAAGTTGAAGAAACAAGGTTAATAATGGTTAGATCCCGGGTGTAAGGCTGAAATCTCGTTCAAGTAAGCCATATAAAATAAATGTAGAACAATAAAGTAAGATGGAGAATAAATACACACACACACTGGTACAAAACGGTAGAAATAACTGACTGGGATGCACGAAACCACCTGAGTTTTCGAATTTGAGATGATATGTACCGCAGTTTATTATTGTAGTTGTGCATATGGGTGGACCAANAAGAGATTCGACAGCATTCACCTGTGGGGTTTGCCAGAAACGAAGAGCGCGCAAAACTATATAAATATTCGAAATATTGGCTGGGATTTGAAGTTAGCCCCGACTGGGAGAGAAGAACTGAATTTGAGAGACTATCGGTGAAGGAACTCAGATCGGAGGGAAAAGAAAAAGGTTGACACAGCACAACACCATCTGCAAATTCCAAAGCATGTGCAGGAGAAATATAAGAAACATTACATATCTTGGTGTGATGAACGCCAGACTCTATAGTCACGAAGACCTGCTATTGTTCATTGATGGAAACCAGTAACCCGGGACCTGGATTGGCGA